AATCAAGAGTTGGTAAATTCAATGCCCTTAATCTTTGTTCATATGCAAGTCCTCTTAGTTCAGGGATGATTCTTGTAGCTCTTCTTTGGGTATTTTCCACTAATTGTTTATTTTTCTTTGTTACGGGGTAATAAATGATATTTCCATAATCAGTGCTTTGTCTTATAAGACATTTATATACAATAGCAATACAATAACAAAAATTGCTTCTTATCCATGTGAATAAAATTTCTTTTTAGCAAACGTATATTAGAGTTTACTTTATTAACAGTGAGACCTATGTGCTCATCAAATTTTAAGTATATAAACGATTTGAACCCCAACCGGATCTTGTGAGAATATGTCAGTGTCAGCCATTTTCTGACGCTTGACTTATTTAATATATTGGTATTTATATTGATACTTGTGGACGTGAGGTTAGTAAATCTTTGTTTATATCGTAGAAGAGAAACTTTATTAAACGTTTAAGTTATGCAAAATATAAATGTTAGCATTTAAGCTATAAAATAATCGAAACTCACGAACTGCTTTCAGGTGATCAACACAGAACACGAACAAAAATCCGTCTTATTTCAAGGTTTATTTGGTTAAACATTGAAATGTGATATCGAACTACTAAAATAATCAATAACAAACGATAATTTAGTCATCTGCAAAAAATATTGCTGTATTTTGAACATTAAATTAAGAGTTAACCAAGAAGGTCAATTCCGTAAACTGAACGTTACTTGCTGGTGATTGTGAACCCTACTTGTGAGTTTACAAATTTTATCTGTATCCTGACTTGTGAGTATTTTTAAAGATTTAATGGAGAGAACATTTATCATTTAACGATTTATTTGTTTAATGACAGGCAAAAATGGAAGAATTCAGTTGTCTTCATTGCCCCCTTTCTCTTCAAAAAATATCGGAAACACTATTGTTCATAATTTTGACATAAGAACAAAAGCTTAAAATAACAATTTCTCAGTTTGACAACAATAACAGAAACATTAAAATCATACTCAAAAGACTTTAGAATTATTCCAAAAGAACTGAAAAAAAGGACTTTAAAAGCAAATGATATTACAAAAACAATAAAAGTTTTAAGAAAAGAAAGACTTGAAAAATAATCTCCAATCAAGAAATGTCAAATAATCAAAACGCCTGTTAAAGATGTTCACACATCGACAAAAGATAAGTTTTTAGAACAGATGACGAAGAGTTTAAGTTTAAACTTGGTGTCAACTTATTCCACAGATCCCACATTAAAGTTGTGTTTTCAGGGGAATGTTTGTTACACGAAAGCTACTTTCAAGACCCTTAACTACAAATGATTCATCCAAATCCATCTTAAATACATGCACATTGCAATTTATAGAAAGGAACTAGATTTATATATATCTTTTGACTTAAGATCACTTATGATAGCCAATGATAAACTTTTCAAGTTGTATGACAAGAAAAGTAACAAGTTGTCTTAGACACTGGCAAGACTGTAAACTATTTGAAAATAGGTTGAAATAAACTTGCGAGAGTGAAAACTACCTTTTAGACCTTTAACAACAATATGCAGGAAACTTCTTAAAATGATTTATCAAAAGTGATCCTAGTCGCGCATGCCAGAAATAAAAATTCAAGGAATTTATGAGAATATAAAACCGTGTTTCAAAAAGCATAATGAAATCAACGGTAGGTGTAAAGCTTTCAACATGTTGAAATAAGTAATCTGCCAAAAAATCCTGTGATGATCTTTCGAGGAGGATGGATTGATAGGTGACGTTATATAACGGTCACGTCAAAACTTACAACAATGCCGTTGAACTTAATAGTAGAAACGTTTATAGTACTTATGTTATATCTTAGCTTTGTATCTTTTCAAAGAAAAATGAATGGTATATGAAGATAAGACTTGTTGGTTGATAATTCCTGTCAAGAAATCATTTTCTTTCTAATTCGTATTACCACCTACTTCATGCTGGTATTTCCATGGAAAGTGAAAACATGATGAAGGTCCATTCATGTGCACGCTGCATTAGTTACTTATACTAGAACTAAAAGACGTGACATGTTCCGGTGACACAAAAACTTCATATTCTGCAAGATATAATTAAGAACATAGGACAAAAAAATAAAAATCATCAAAAATGACTCGCAAGTTATGGTTCAGTGAAAACACAAGTAGGGTACAGATCATTAAAATTGTTTTAGCAAGACGGGTACAGTTATCAGAATGTTCGCCTCTAGTATTTACTATGTTTTTATCAATATTCAAAGATATCCACACAAGTGCCTGTGCGGTAAGACGAGGTAAGACAATAAAGTTAAGATTCAGATATGATTAATAGTGAAATAAAACAATTTAAGGCATAAATTTGCTTGTGTAATGTTGCTTGCGTGTGTTGACATAAACAAAACATGAAGCGAAGAGCAAAGCGTTTTATGCGCATACATTTAAAGAAGCTGGTTATAGATGTATCTATAAGCAAAGAAAAATATTTCTTAATATGATTCAAATGTTAGCATACCGTCACAGATTAAATGCAAGCCGTCTTAAAAAGTTTTATGGGTCACCCCGCCTGTTTGTACGGAAATGATGTTGAGATCTCTCACAAGATCCGGTGAGGTACAAATCGTTTATAAACTGTGACCTAGGTCTTTTTCCTTGTCAATGATTTCAATGTCAACATCAATACCAGTGTTGTCTTTCATTTTATATTCTGATGGTTTAAAAACTTTCGTCCGAATTGACACATCGCAACTTTTCAAATTACAAGATAACTATAAAAACCGATAAATTCTGAATGAAAACGAATGCGGCGAACCTCTATGGAAACTAAATGGGACAGAGAACCAGAATAAACGGAAGCAGTGTATAAAATACCGAATGAAAGTTTTTAAAACGGAAAATGTAAAATGAAAATTGAACGATTATTTTATACTATTTCATGGTAAAAGGAAATCGAGCTCGCTTTGAGGCTTTGCCTTTTTCATATTATCAAATATTTTCAACTAAATGAATTTTGTGCATGATAATGCCTTGAACTGTTTATATATGTAAACTGTTTAAACTTGGACAGGACACTCATAAGCTTTCATAGCTTTCTGCCCAATCTTAAGTGTATTGTGTAAAATTGTTCATCTTAATATGAAATAAAATATGTTTAAAAAAATAACATCTTGCGACATTTAATGGTAGCGTTGCAACATTTAACGGAAAGTGAAAATCGTGCGACAATTAAGGTTACCATTGCAACATTTAACGGCAGACGATTTTCCGACATATAGCGGCGGTTGCGACAATAAGCGGCAATTGTGCGACATTTAGCGGCAAGTCGACATTTAGAGACGTTGCGATATATAAAAGCGTCACACTGTCCATCGTGAAAACCATGTTCATCGTGAAAATGTTCAACCAGAAAACCATGTCCACATGTTAAAATGGCGGGAGGCGCGGAGCGAAAAGTCTCTTATCTGCGGGGGAAGGGGGCAAAGTTTAAGAAATAAAACTTCGCCCCGTGGGGCGGAGCGAGATTTAAGAAATAAAACGGCAGGGCGCGGAGCGAAAACACGATAATAAGCGGGGGTGCGGGACGAAGTTTAATAAATAAAACTTCGCCCGCGCATCCGCTAATTAGCGTGTATTCGCCCCACGACCCCGCCAAGCAAAAAGTCGAGAAAAAACAAGTTGAAATGGCGGGGGCGCGGAGCGAAAACACGCTTCTTAGCGAGGCCGCGGGCGAAGTTTAAGAAATAAAAGTTTTATTTATTAAACTTCGCCCAGCGCTCCTGCTAATTACCGTGTTTTCGTCCTGCGACCCTGCCAAGCGAGAAGTCAATAATTAGCGTGCTTTCGCTCCGCACCCCCGCCGCCGTTTTATTTTTATTTGTTTGGCTCGTCAGACCAAACCAATAATGGTAGCGAAATTTCAGACCCTGATGCTGTTAATTGCAAATGCCGAAAGTAGTCCGCTTTTTTGAAGCGGTTACTTCCCTTTATATGTACAATAACGCCGAAAAATTCAGGGGAGATCACTGTGTAAAGATTGTCAAATGACAGGCGCAATAATTTTCAAGCAAAATAGTTCCCGAATGGTCGAAGATTTCTAATATTGTTTTGTTCTTTATAGATATACATGCTTACAGTAAGCTGCATCTGTGTTAAACAACAAGTTTAGCGTCGAAATAATAAGAGTTACAAACCCTCATTGCACGCTCGCTTAGGAATCGAGAGGTCTGGCGTTCAAATCCCGGTTAAGGCAACTCAATTTTTTTTAAATTGTTTAAGTCAAATAAACATTGAATTGAATATGTGTTGCAATAGCCAATTTACTACAGTTAAAACACTGGAAAGCATTGGTGTCATTATACAAAAACAAATTGGTTTATAATCTCACAACCTTCACCTTTCTGACATTCTGAGATCAAAACAAATTCAGCACCTTCTGTGCTTTGATTTAAATCTCGCTTCGGGCTCTGGTTAAGCAGCGACTTTTCGCTCCGCGTCTCCACTATTTTAACTTGTTAATTTTCGACTTATCGCTTGTTGGGGGTCGCGGGGCGAAAACACGAATGGCACTAATCAGCCACCATAAAAAAGCAAGTTCACCCTGAAAATTATGCCCATCCGGAAAACCATGTCCACCATAAAAATATGTTCACCCTAAAAAACCATTTTCATCCTAAAATATGGCATACACAGTTGCTTGAGTAATCAAAAGGTAGTGGTCAAGCCTTGCACAAATGTTTGATTTGAATGAGATCTGTCAGAATACAGTAACCAAGAGTTTCAGTCTTTGACTCGGCCATATATTACGTTTTATATGTATTGTTTTCATGTTTTGAAAACTGTTTAGTAACCCTTCACATTGTTTTGATTTTATCACGTTTTTGTGAAATGAAAATTACTGGTCTTTCAAATGGAATTCTACTTGAAAAACCATGAATGAATGTAATTATTTTTTAGCTCTAAATAATTGTAATAAAACAAGTGTCATTTTTATCACTACTACAGGTATATCTAAATAAACACTAGTCTACACTAGTCTAAATAGAAAAGCAGACCAAATTGTGTTTCATTGCATGACTATTGGCTCTGAAAATTAAACTTAAATCTACATTAAATGAATTTCTTAAAAACAGAAATAGCGACATTTCATTAGTAAATTTTGTTTCATATCGACTCCAGATCTTATCATGGTGTCAAGGCAACCAAAATGAGTTTTATAAGCATAAACATCTGCGGCCTCATTGTGGCGAATTCGGAATTTGCATGAGAAACTCCGCCTTCGGGTCATCCGTACATCAATATTAAATCAACAAACATGGTTATAAGTAGCAGTCCTAATATAACGGTATATTTACGCTTTGTAACGGTTGTTTTCATACAAATTTAATTTTTTTATGAGATGATTACTCTTTACTGAACGCCATGCCATGAAAATCTCGTATTAACTGTGTTCTGTATAGCAACTATAACACTGTGACGTAGCACATACATGAACTGATTATGGTCTTCATTTGCATGTTAAAATTCGTATACGAACTTTAGTGTTATCATGGGGTTTTCCGTTTAAAATCGTAATTTATGAACAATATTTGATGAGATTTACAACAATATTGTTAAAAAGGTGAATAAAACAGTAGAATGCTTGGTTTTTAGGACGACGGCAAAATATTTTTACATATTTATTTAATGTAACTTTAACATAATCATGTGATAAAATTAATGTAATACACATTGTATCATGTGATAAAATTAATGTAATACACATTGTCAAGAATCTGTTGTCTTTTTCCACTGTCATGTTTGGCAGAAAACTGCTACCGTCGAATATTTTTGTTTTTTGCCGGAAAATGGTTTACTACAAACCGTCCGTATAAGGGATTAAATATTGTATATTTACTCCGAAATCACAATCCGAAAATGAAACAAAATATCTTTTCACAAACTTTTAAAAACATTATCAACATTATACAGTCCTTCATGACGGTGTGATCTTTGAAATAACACATGTGTCTTTTGGAATTTGTGTTAACCTTTGTACGTGTGTTTGAGAATCGCTAGTTAATTCTCCAGATGACTTTCTCTTACACGCACGCCGGAATCGCGAGTCGAAAATACTATAAATAATAGGATTTACTGCGCAGTTCAGGAAGTAGGATCTTGTCAAGATTTTGTAAACACCTTCACTTCCGCTGGAAGAACCGTCTGCTGTAAACTTGCTTTTGAATTGCCTCACTATAAGATGTGGGAGGAAACTGCAAATGAACGCTATAGTAACCAGAAACATGACGAAAGTAGTTCTTTTTGCAGTCTTCTGGTTTCGGGTGTAAGCTTGTGAACCAGCTTTTCCTAAACCGTCCTTCATGTTACGAACGTGGCTTCTCACTTTATGTCCAATCATGCAATACAGTATAACCAATATAATTACACTGCTAATAAACAAAATCGCAAGAGTAAGTGTGTATACAACCGGAAATGACGTATCTTTTACATTATTATCAGTCCCACATTCACTTCCGGTAAGATTGAATTTTGGGATATCGAAAGTTTCTTTTCCGTAAATGGCGATTGCAGGCCATGAAACCATCGTTGCGAGGATCACAGATGCAACGCATAACATCTTTGCGACAGATGCTTTGATTTGCCATTCAAATGGTTTCAAAATTTTCCGGAATCTATCGACAGCTATCATTATCAGCATAAACGTTGAGGCATTTGTGCAAACGCCATTTATGAATCTGGCCAATTTACAGAGCCATCCAGGCTTAAATGTAAACTTGTCTAGAAGAGTGACTATCTCAAGAGGAATAGCTACACAACATGAACACAAATCTATAGCTGCCAAAGTTAGAACAAAACACTGAACGTTAGAAAACTTGAATCGCGTTCTGTAAATGTGAATAACTAAACTATTTCCGACTATGCCAGTCAGTGAAATGACGGAGAGAAATATTACAGCAGGAATAAGCTTGTCAAGCTCGTCATTGTTCAAATCCTGTAAAATTGCCGCTTGTTCTTCCTCTGACCTTTCTGTCTTGTTCATTTTGTCTGAAAAATAACAACATCAGAACACATTAGATATATCAATTAAAGTTGGTTCAGTCCACTGTACATTGTAGCAATATGCAAACTCGCTCATTCATTGCGGTGAACATTTTTAATTTTATTCAAATGTCATTGCTTTTGAGTACAGTTGACATTGTAGATCAGACCAGCGTTTAACACCATATTCTTTTGAGTTATTTTTAAAGTGTATTAGTCACTCACATATATATCATCACACTAACTCACACATTGTGTTATCGACGTTTCATAGAAAAGAACAGAACAGAATTTTATTTACAGACTTATACATAAGTGCATCGTCTTGTTAATAAAAGATTTGATTAAACTTAGTCAAATGGCATGCGAAAACATACAAATTATAAACAACATTTTAAATTAAAAAAAGCCAATGATTAAAGAGGACAGACATTATGCAAGACGATAATAACAATTCAATTATGTTAAGATTTAATGATTGTGTTTCTCAACGATAAAGATTCTTGGATATATTTTGATAACTTAATTAAAACAGTTTTATTTTGTGTTGAAAGGAAATCTATTAAATTAATCACAGATGGTCTAACATAATAACATTTTTTAAGATACTGCATTCGAAGACTATTAAAACTAGGGCATACACATATAAAATGACATTCAACTTCTATGTCAAATGTGTTGCAACATAACTCCCGTCTGTATTCTTAAAGGATGTACAGATAATCTTAATCTGCAAAAATAATATCTATATTTACGAGGCAGAATATCAAGGTAACGTTCATAACCAAAATTAAGCTTAAAATTCTTGTAATTAAACAAAACAGGGCGACGTTCTAACGTAGCTGCCCAATCTTGTTTAAAAGTGGCTATAACTCTACGTTTAAAAATGATAGGGAACACAAGTGCATCAACGCATTTTCATTGAAAATTTCAGCAAACCATAATTACAGAGTAGCTTTTAACGTTTGAAACTCAATTGCGGTGTCCTTTATTAAATCAAATATACCATCTTCATACATAGTTTTTAAAACACTATTATCAGTGTTTTTCAACTTACACCAAAACTTGACAATTCTTACGTAACGAGTCACATACAACGGATTACGCCCTAACTCACCATATACTGCAGCAGAATTTAACATTAAGCAAACGTTTACAAATTTGTAAGTGGATTCTTTTCAGTTCTTTAGATTTCGTGTAACCCCAAATTTAAATTCAGACCCATATCCTAAAATAGACCCAATGAAAGCATCAAATAATTGACATAATATCTTAGGTTTAAGATCAAACATTTTAAAATTTTACTAGGTTTAAGATAAAACTTTTTACAATTGTAAAACAAAACATTAAGAGCTTTTAAAGCTTTTCCTACCAAGTGTTCCTGGTTAAGCGAAAAAATGCCTGTATGATTAAAGACAGTACCTTAGTAATTAAAATCATTCACAACTTCTAAAATTTGGCCATCATAAGTCCAGTTCTCATTTTGTAATAACCCCCCTCGTTTTCGAAAAACCATTCCTTTTGTTTTGCTTGTATTTACTTTTAATCCCCATCTAGAGCAATATGAATGTAAGTTCCAATGGTGACTTTCCTTAGATGGCTTTATCGTCAGCAAATAACAATTACATCAAAATAACATCATCAATTGACAGTCCTGATTCATTACCAGTTTGCAAATATAACTCTAAATCCTCTACAAAGAGAGAATAAATTACCTCCCTTGACGTTATCCAATAGCATATTAAAAATAATCAGAATAATTCGAACAAGATTTGACACAAGATTTAACTTTTTGAAACATGTCTCTTATTGTACGCAGCAATTTACCTTTTATTCCTAATTTATACATTTTCAGCCATAGTGCATTTCTATATATACTGTCAAAACATTTTATCATATCGACAAATCATCTAACTGGAAACACTACCTGAATATACATTAAATTGTAAAGGGACTTTTGACACAGGAAAAACAAATCAATGGATACTTGATGACCTAACTTTAATTAGGTTATAGTTTCACAACAGATAATATACTTTCACAACAGATAATATACTTTCGTATATTTAAGTATGATGACTATTTGGAAATATAGAATTGTTTTACATGTATATCAATTTCTCCATTTTAAGCTTTTCTCATGCTTTTCAATATGTACGCATTTAAAAGTTTAGAAACCACTTATCATAATAATGCACAAGACAATTTAAACACCGCTTCACCCACTCTTAGGAAATGCGAGGTTAACGGGTGAAAATCAGGCTTTTTAACGTTTGGTTGACCGTCGACTGGCATATTGATAAGACGCTTTTTGTTTTGGTGACAAAATAGACGGAGACACGGATGCAGTACGGGGACATCCAGCCAGGTTGGTAACTGTCTTTCGAAATCAAAAACTCTGATTCACGCGCTAAATTTTCCTAGGGCGAAACCTGGTTACAAAAACAAATTGACTACGCATTAATATACGCATCTAACATCTGAACTATTCAAAAGTTATGCCTGCTTAGTTTTATTTTATTTTATTTAAATCCATTAAGATTCTTATTCACTTTAGGTGAACAGTATTAATTGTTTTTTTAAAAATCATTAAAATTTTTGGATTTGCAGGGAAAAATTTGTACGAAATTTAATTGTTTCGTTTCCCTTTTGATTTTCTTTTTTAGTTAAATTATAGGAATGTAACTTTTTTGGGTACAAACTTAAATTTTTTTCATCATTCCCCAAAAGTTTTGAATAATTTTAAATCTTATAAAAAGCAAAAGTAAAGTAAAAAAATAATCATTATTTTTTAACCAGAAACTTTTTAAAATGTTTGGGACATAAAAAATCACAATTTGCTTACTTTTTTTCGCCAAAAATGCGTTTTGAAAGAATTGAATTTTAAAAAGCGGTTCCCAAAAAATGCAAGAAAGAAAAAATTTTATTTGACTCAAACAATGAATTAAAGAACAACGACGGCCCCGGGTAACAACCACAACAATTAACGTAAACGTATCACTAATTAAGGTGACACCGTTTTTATCAAGGAAGTTAATTTCTTACGAGAATAGACATTTTTAAGAATTAATTCTTTGTATTTTTCTTTAAATAATCATTTTATTGCAGAATATTATATTTTTAAAGAAACTCTCAAATTAAACATTTTAACAAAAGGTATATTGTATTTATAGATATAAATTGAAGAAAATGAGCATTCCTAAAAATAGCAGGCTCGGTTTGATTGAGCCTGTTCGTGGACGGTACTGTCAAGTGCAAACTACCGTCCACACCCCCTACACTGCCCTAGCCCCGACTTAAGCAGAATTCAACATTTTAACCTGAAATGGCAAACATTTCAATTTAGAAACATCCGCAGATGTGTTCATACGGCGGTTATCATGGAACATTCCGTGTGATTCCATGAAAAACGGCGTATGGTCCCCAAATTATAGGAAGCGTGTGCCTCAAAAGGTGAAAACATTGGGCGGAACTAAATAAAATGGAATTTTGAAAGGGGATCAGAGGTTATAAAGTCTGCAAATCACAGATAGACGTCAAAAGACAAGTTGAAAAAAAAGCAGGCAACATCCTTAGGGTGTTTCAACATTATTTAAGTAGGAATATTTGAACCACCCAAATTGAATGAGCCAACTAGTCGAACAAAACAATAATGTCGCGTTGAACGACCTTAAAGTATCGGAAATATAACATCTCTGCGCGACTATTTACACGGTAGAAAGAACGCTGAAGTGGCGGTAAAATATAGATAATAAGAATCCCTAAAGAAAGTTCTAAATGGTTTGATGGACGATACTGTAAAGTGCAAATTACCGTCCACGCCCCTAGCACCGGTTTAAGCAGAATTCAACATTTTAACATGAAAGTCATTGATAATCAATAAGATGGCATATATTTTGAAGTAATTGAATTTTATATAATTGAAAACACTTTTGAAAATTTCAACTAGATCATTTATATGACATGTTCACAAGTAAGTTATACCCAAATTGTGACTTTAGATTAAAAGGGAATGAACTCGGAAACGTTTTCAAGATTTCAAGAGACGGATTTTTCTTTTCTGTCGCTGATGAAATTTCAATAACATCATTCATTACTTTACGGAATTGGTAAAGGGGACAGTTATGCAGCTACAAATTGCTATTAAAATTGTTCTTTGAAAATTTTGTACATCATTTGATTACAACATTTCTTTATCATTATAAAATGAAATACATAGAAACGTTTCTGAATCTTTGAATAAAACATGAGTGCAGATTGTTGTATTAATTGGAATTTCCAACTTTATTTCGATTTTAGAGGAGCAAAAGTTTGTACTTGCAAAATGAACTGTATATTCATATAAATAATGTGTTGAAATTTATGTGAGAGTCTAAAATAAACTAAATAACTATAATTTATAATTCAAGTTTATCTTGTGACAAAGTAGATGATAAGATATAATATATTAACATATTTAAAACCAGTTTTAGCATTATGGATATTGATATAAAAAAGATTATTTGTCATAATCCTGCAACATGTTTTGTAAGGTATGCTTTTTGGAAGGAAATTTGTTCAAAAAAAAATTTCCTTTCTATAGTAACGGTCTGCTCATATTAAAAAGAACGAACAACACCTAATTGACTTCTGTTTAAGCTCAATAGAAAACAAGTAGTGAATGCGACCAAGAAAGTAGTGCAGCAGAACTATATGTATACTTTCAAACGTGGATGATTTGAAGAAAAAGATGATGTTCAAAAAAACTTGAAATGATGATATTCAATGTTAGCTTACATCAATGGAACATAATCTTAAACGTGTACGAAAAAAAAACATCAGTATTATTACGCATTAGGCCAAAGAAAAATTGGTGTCCATGTACCTATGTACAATAAATTGAATATAAATAAGGTGTAATTTTGTAGCAGAGATGCTGAAAAGTTCACATATAAGTCAACCGAAGGGAAATAAAAGTATTTTTTGTATATATTTAGCAATTTATTGAATAGCATTTTATGCCACCGCTGAATTTTTTAC